GAACATGTTAAGCCACAGTGAAGCTGCATGCCACAGGTCAACTAACATGAACCCTGCCACTGTAATCTCTCTAAGGTGAGTTTGGCCTTGCAGTGAACTGCCTGCCATGACTGGATTGGCCAGAAGGATGGACGACTGTTGCTGCATAGATAGCCTGTAGCGTTTTGTAGGTGTGGGTTCTCATTTGTGTGTTTGTTTGTCTTCGGGCCTATACCTGTCTGTGTGATAATGCAATCATCTCATGCCTGGTTAGTTGGAGTCTTTCCTTTATCCAGTTCCCCAGTCTGTCTCGGGGGTTAGGACAAGAGATAAGGGAGTGTGAAAGTCAGAGTCCCACTGACTGGCGGTCTGATTGTGGGCCTGCATGCTTCCCTCTGCTTGGGGCTGTGCTGGATACAGAGAGAGGCCAGCTGTATGACTGTCAGACGCTCAGTCAGGCTCTGAATCATTTATCAGTCAGCTGCTGCCCTTAGTCGAACTGCATCTCTATTGGTTATAAAAACCTCCTCTCCCACTGTGAAGCACGGCCCTGTTTGTTTAATCATGGACGCCGCTGTGTGTGTACGGTGTCTGTGTGTGTGTGTGTGTGTGCGGTGTGTGTTTTTCATAGCCTTGGCTGTTCCGTGGTACACAGGAACCAGTTTCTCTGCCCTTGGATGAATGTTTCATGGAGCACTAATGATGTCAGAGCAACCTCTAGACAGGGCATGGCAGAGATGGAACGCAGCACTGCGCCGGCCCCAGCCACAGCTACCCACAATGCTCTATGGCTCCCATGAGCCCTCTGCGAGGTCAGGCTGTTGCTCAGTGAGGAGAGCTTGGTGCTTGATCAAGGACAAGCATTTATCTCTCTCAGGTGGACCTCCAGTGCCCAGCTAGTGGTACTCAGTACTGCTCCTCTCACTGTCTCCCAGCGCCTTGTTTACTTTATGACTAATCAGGAAGTTGTTCAGAACCTGTCCTGAGAACCAGCAGCAGGAAGGAAGATCTGTTATTCTGTATTCAGTCATTTTGTTTATTTATTTTCTAGATGTTTAGTTTCTAGGTCGAAACCCCCTGTCAACCATTTAGTCGTTTTTGGCAGTGTCAGTGAAGTTCTGTGTTGGTATGATAACAATTTGATGGGAAGACTCAAAGTGGCACTTAAATGTAAACACATTAACACAAAGTCAAACAGTTAAAATGAGTGTGTTAAGGGCTCGACATTAACGCTTGACAAGTAAAAACAATCACACACAAATCACAATATCAAACAATTACTCCGAGCAGAATTGGATCAGTGTCCTCTGGATGCGATGTTTTGCGCACTGTTCTCCCAATTTCTGCAGAGCGCATAGGAGTAGAATTGAATTGCATTGACAGGCACAAGCAGTCTTTTTCAATCACCTTTTGAGATCAAAGCGTGTAGCCTCGTGTGCACATTTGTTGATATTCCTTGCTAGTTTGTGAGTTATTTGCCCAATTATAGCTAATTTTTGGTCATAAACGGGGTTTGTATGGTCATGAAAATCCTGGAAAAGTAATGTGTGTATCACATGCGTGTGGGCCCGAGGAGCGAGAGAGAGACATTGCAGCTGCAAGTAGCCTATAATAAGGATAGACAACAGATAACTAGATAGCCAATGCATAACATATTGTGTTGCCTGGCTAGTTATCTTGGTAGTTAACTATTTAGCTATTAGCATGTATTAATGTCATTTCCGATGTCCTAAAAAAACTTTTCAGCGGCACTCCCACAAATAGCCGACACACAATTGATGAACGGGGTGCGTTAATAAACCAACGCTACATACAATCTGACACAGTGGGAGAGCTTAGTCTAATTGACAAATAACTCACATGCTGTCAATAGCTCTCCCCTGAAACCTGAATAATTTAGCCTTTCAAGGTTATGGATAAACATGCCTTAGTTAGTTACCTTGCTTTGAAGTAGCCTACCTTAGCCGTTTGATCGCTGATTCATTGAATGATTTTATAAAGACAAAGTATTTCATTGTAATTGTAATGTTGCAATATTTTATAGGCTACTAAAGGCATCCGAATTCTTCCCATCCGGAACAGTTCATGAATATATTATGACGTTTTTGTTCATTTTGGCCTTCGGCTAGGTTTTTTTTCCGGCTGTTCATGCACACACAAATCTCAAGACGAGGCGAAGTTCGGAAGCCGAAGTCTACGCCCCTTTGTCAGTGATTGGTCAACAGTAGGGATTCTTCAATTAAGTGTTTGTTGTCATTCAACGATAGACAACTCGTTTTCATGCACATTCTTCACTTAAGAAATACTGCACCAAACATTTTAAACGTAAAAGGATTTCTTGAGTTATCTTAGATTAAGTCTGACTATTTTGTGGAAGCGTATACTGGCTATGGCGTCTCAAGATGGACAAACAGTACTATTGCCACCTTTTTCAAGTTTTTCTAGAGAAGGTCTTTTAAGGTTATATGCGAGTACACTTGTTCGGTTCGCCTAGCCGCCAACCAAACCGAAGCATGCGGCCAACTATCCTCCAGGAGAGCCTTAAAGGGGCAGTGTTGTATTTTGAGACTGGCTTGAATATGTAAAGAAGCCAATAGGCAGAGTGTAGCCTAGCTACATTACATTTTTGTCTGATTCTCTATGGTAATAATAATGATAATAATGTATTTTATTTTGTAAATTGGTTCCTTGCATCATTCAATTATGTAAAAATTGTGTTACAGACCATATTTGAAGTTTTCTAAGTAAAAAATCAGTCCTACTTGTCCGAAGGACACGTGGCTTACATTTTTTTATGTCAAGCCCTGCTGTTTGTAAATGTAAGCAATATTATTTTTAAGAGGATAAATCACAAGCTAATGTTTTTATTCTTTAATCAACAAAATTGTCAGCCTATACTTTTGAGAGTTTGAAAAAGCACAAATTTGGCAAGCCTTTGTAAATAAGCACTTTCGTTATCCGGTGTTGCTCTACATGCAATCCACCCACAGCATCTATAATGACATTTATCAAAGGCAAATTTGCTGAAGTTAGATGACATCCATCTGTTTGTGACAGTTGTTAGTGAAGATGTTGCTCAAATGTTTCTACAAGACAGGCTTTGTAGTGCCTCCTTGACTACCTGTAAAACTAGCTCTGCTGAACATTGAGATGGGAAATGGCTTCACATACTGGTGCAGAAAAGTCCACGATATGTGTCACCACGAGGTTAAGACCAGCTTTCACAACTCAGATCCTCACTTTCACTGGGGTGGAGATATTATTATTGTGGGTCAAATGAATGTCTCTCTCTCTTTATGTCCTCCCTCTCTTCTACATATCTACACTACGCCCTCTACACTCTCTCTCTCTCCCTTCCACCCTCTCTCACATCCCTGGGAGGCTGCAGGGTGCAGACAGCCATGGGCCCTGTGAGACCTCTCTGACAGTCTCCTGAAATCCTGGAGGATTGTCACTGCTACATTAGATTAGTGTTGCAGCAGTCCGAGAGCCTTCCTCTCGCAGAGCTGCGGTCTGAGGTTATCCCAGCTGGCAGCAGCTGAGGGCAGGCAGGCAGGCTGGCCGTGTGGTGGTGGTGTGGGTCTCTGGTACCCAGCGGCCCAGCACTTATCCCTGGTTTGATCACCCGCTCCTAGGGTTTATGGGTGTCTGATCCCACCCCACTGACGCTGTTGAGGGATGACATGCCCTCTGCCTCTGCTCCACCGATGACACCTAGTTCAAACGGATAAATCTGAACAGTGTAATTGCGTCTGCTCTTTATCAGTGCAGTTTGTCTAAAGGTCAGTGATTCGTGAGAGCTGGGAGGCATGGGAATGATGGCGTGGAGGGAGACAGAGGTGGTGGGGGTGGAGCTCATGCTACTATCCTGCACCATGTAGAGATGTTCATGGTTTTGTGAATTGAATAGTTTTTTTATAAAGTTTCGCACCAGGTTTTATCTTTGAGTGAACTGAGTCATCAAATTGCACTGACAACTATCATCATAGTTGTTTAAATTCTTACTGCTGTTCAGGTAAGGCTTCCCTGTGAAACCCTCTCTACAGTAATACTGAAGATATTTTGTGTTCATCCTTGTGAAGAACTGTGGCCGTGACCAGGCCCACCCCGTGATCGATGCCTGGCAAAAAGTTCTGTCTAATTATGAGGAGGAAATGGCTGAAATGATGAGGCCATATTGATTGTTATAGTGCCCATTAATAATCAGCTGGCTGCAGCGTAGGCCAGTACAACCACAGGAGCCGTAGTCTCAGCCCTGGGACTCAAGTCTCTAGCCAATCGCCTTCCAGCCGTAATGAGCCGGTTCGTCCCCTTCTTTGCTGTAGTGGCTGCCAACTGTATCGACATCCCCTTCGTGAGGCAGATGGAGCTGAAATACAGCATCCCGGTGACTGATGAGAATGGGAACCGGTTAGGAGTGTCAGTCACCCCTGCCAAGTCAGGCATCATCCAGGTGGTCGAGTCCCAGGATCGGCATGGCTGTGCCAGCTATGGCTATCCCCCTTGTGATAATGAACGCCCTGGAGAAGAAAGCCTTCATGAAGCGGTTTCCAGTCCTAAACGCCCCAGTACAGGTGGGACTGGTGGGTCGTGCCAGGTGTTTGCCACTCCTCTGTGCTGTGCCTTGGTCCCACAGGCTGTGAGCAGCTTGGAGCCAGATCTTCAGGAGAGGATACAACAGAGCAGTCCTGACACTACTAACGTCTTCTTCAACGAAGGCCTTTAGGCCCACACAATAATACACACCACAGACCAGGCCCCTCTGCTGGCTGGACCCCTCTACTACAGCTCAGTAGGAGCAACTGAAAGGGCAAAGAGAAAATTATACAGTATTTATGCATATGTTTTATTTACCTGTTTGTTTATGATGTTCTAGGCATTTGGATTTGATTAGGGAGAGGTGATGGAGAAGGGTGCGTCTCAGTCCTACAAAGTTGCTTCCTTGTCTGAAATTATGGAATAAGTGGGTGAAAGTCTACCAGTCAAGTTTTTCTCATTGGGGAGGAAGCAACTTCGAAGTAATGAGACGCTGCCGAGGCGAGAGTAGTGTGACAGACAGTTATCTTACACTCCTATGACAAATGGACTATGGTTTGATTTGGGTTTAGTTTTTGGTGTGTTTATTGTCCCTGGGGTTTTGGGTTGTGGGTGTTTTAATTACTGACTGCTGTGAATGTTACTGAATGACAAATCTTTTTAAATCCGCCCAAACTAGATACATTTCACCCTTCGTATTCGACCCCAGAGATTTTTTTCTCTCTCCAAAGTACCCTTTGAGCTATGTGCACGGAAACCATTCCTGACTTGCAATTAGAAAATAGTTCAATTTAATCTGCTAGATAGATATCCACTCCCTCAAGTTGGCTCAGCTGTATTCTGTAGTACAGGTAGTAAAATACAACAGTTGGTTTATGAGCACAATATAGACTGACCTGTTATTAAATCCCTTTTTGGGTCTACCAGGGTTTTCTTTTTCATTGCAAAACGTTTTGCTACAGTGTGCCCTAATGAACATTACCCAGTTGACTAGCACAGCTTCCCTCTCTCTCCACTGACATTGGAAGCGTACTTACACACACACACACACACACACACACACATACACACACTGTCCCACCAGATAACCTTATCAACCCCTCTCATCCTAGTGCACTGGGTAACCCTGTGCGTTTTGTAACCCTGTGCGTTTTGTGTTACCAAGAAAACCTTTAGAGATGCAATGACCCTGCATGGGCATTCCTAACTGATTTCAGTAAGCACATTCCTAGTAGCATTGATGACAATGATATGCCAGCAGAACGCTTTATGTAGGACAGGATCTAGGTCTAATGTTTCAGCCCCATATCAAGGCCTTTCGGCAGGTAGCCTAGTGGCTAGGAGCGTTGGGCCAGTAATTGAAATGTCGCTGGTTCAAATCCCCGGGCCAGCTAGGTGAAAACATCTGCCGATGTGTCCTTGAGCAAGGCACTTAACCCTGTAAATCGCTCTGGATGAAAGCGTCTGCTAAATGACTAAAATGTAAATGTAAAATGAGTGGAGAGGCCAGAGGCAGTAATGGGCGTGCCATGGTGAATAACAAGCAGAGGAAGTGGCAGTACATTTAACCTCTGCTCATCTCTGGAGTGCTGCTGCTGCTGGGTTGATACACAGGTGCTCTCCTTCCTCTTTCTCTCTCCCTCTATATCTCTCACACTCTCAATCTCTTTTTCTCACACTCCCTGTCTCCTTAACGCCTTGTCTCTCTCTGCCTTACTCTCTCCCTCACTTGCTCTCTCTCATTTCCTCACACACTCTCAGCCCTTCCCACCCTGACTCTCTCTCTACACACGCTCTCACATGACATCCCGGGCTGCGGGAGATATTAATAGTGTGCTGAGTCCCTGGGAAGCTCAGGAAGAATTACTTCTCCTATCCAGGCTCCCCTCACATATTTCACCTGGTCTGCTGTGGCAGACAGGGCAGGTTGGAAAGGCCAACCACAGGGCTGACTGACTGACTGAAGACCAGGGGCAGGTGGGAGAAGATGTATATGGTGGATGCTAAGGGATTCCATTGGCTTCAATTGAGTCAGTCATAGCAGAATGAGAGGCAGACTATGAGAAGTTAGTTTTGAGGCATTTCAGTCCACATGTAGCCTAATCATCACACAATTAGATGAGAGGAGAGGGTCAGGCTAGATGTTGAGGCTGACCCCACCAGGCTGTCACATGTTCCTGCCTGATCTCCAATCATTGTGAGAGGGTGGACCGCCCGTCACTTCAGCTTTAATGGACCGCCTGTCACTTCAGCTTTAAAAGGGGACTGCCAGCCAGGGAGACTGTGTGGGACAGACGGGCACACACAGCGGGAAGTAGGGTGACAGTTTGGTCAGTGTTCGTAACAGGAATAACAAGGTGTGTGTTGTGTCAGAGGCTGTGTCCCCAAATGTCAGTTCTTCTCAGGCCTCCAGTGCAGACACAAGGAGAGGTTGTGACGAACAGACAATGGAGGATTAGGGAGGCTGCATTGTAGTGGGATTATGGAAAGGTGACAGGGGTCTGTAAACACATCATGGCCAATGAAATCAAACACCTCTGTATTTGGAAGGAAATTATCCTATACCTTGCTTGTGAACTGTTTGAGTACTGTGTGGATTACAAATTGGTTGTAGTGAATCAAAGATGCACAGCAATGTGTGTTCCACTCTAGATAAATAGACAGCCACTTCATTGATGCAATCAATAAGTGGCTCATTTTGTGTGGGCTGGAGTGCAGCGGCCCATGTGAGAGTCATGTCTGACGGATGGAATCTCTCTAGGAGTGTTGGGAAGGAGCCTATAGGCTAGCTGGTAGCAGCCTACTGGAAAGACTCCTAACTAGTGAACAGAACAACTCAATCTTCTGGGAAGTGAGTGGGTCATATGCAGCTCATGTGGTGCTAGGTCGCCCTTTCAGAAATTGAGAGCGTGCTCAGAGAACAGGATCACAGGAGGATTAGGAGGGAATGCAACACACACTGTATGCTCATACAGGCTTTACTTACGCCACATTTGCCTAAGCATAGTGTTATTGTTATCCCTATGGGAATCCTTCAGTGAAGTGATTAGCCTGTTCAGTGAAGTGAGTTTGGAGTCCACTCTTATCACAGGGTGGGGCCCTCAGTATAGAGGTCTAGGCGGGATTGATTTCTTCATCCCGCTCCCGGCCGCACCCGCAGCTTTTCATACCTGTACCCACCCGCAGCTTTTCATACCTGTACCCACCCGCTCCCGCTGGTTTTCATACCTGTACCCACCCGCTCCCGCTGGTTTTCTGTCCGACTCCCACCCAACCGCAGTCCTGCAATGTTATTTTAGGCGTAGGCTATTTGACGCAGATCGCTTGCCAGCCATGGTCCCATCAATTTTGCGCCCTATAGGCAATATCAAAATGCGCAAAAATAACCTAAGAAATAGGTAACATTTCCAAAGATGATCACATTCTTCATTATACTAGGCTATCAGGATTACTGGGCTATATCAGCCAATAGCCTTAGTATGAAGAGAGCGGAGTTGGAGAGAGAGCGGACACTTGCACTTTCAGACAGAGACCAAAATGGATAATCAATATTTATTTTGAGGTAGTGTAGTAAACTATAGCTTAATTAAGAAGTTAATTTCCTTGGAAAGAGAACTGCCCCGTGCTTCTCCATTCATGCATAGGCTATATCCTACTATTTAATTGAGACCAACACGCGCACCTTATCTCACACATATGGCTACTGAACTTGAAGCAGCAATAATAATGAGAGCAGACACTTGCACTTTCTCTTGAGCTAGGTTTTGCATATAGGATATAGCCTACCTTTTAGGAGCGGGACGATTTGCAGGCAGAGACAAATAAATGCTTAATCAATACTTATTGAAAAGGAAAAGGCGTAACGCTCACTCGCCATGCTATTCGCTAGTTGCGCCTTTTCCTTTTCAAATCATGTTTTTTTTTATTGCACTTCGACTCACGTTGGTTGAGCTCCCGCCACTTCTTTCCATTATCTATATGTATTTACGGACACTGTAGTAAACTATAGCCTAATCATATTTAAGTTAATTTTCTTGGAAAGATAACTGCCCCGTGATTCTCCGCCCTTTCATAGGCGGTCATTGAGATCATATATTGTAGGCGTGCTTGATCTTGTACGCCCATCTAGGAGAGGAGCGGCAGGCTACTGAACTTGAAGCAGCGAATTCTGACAGTGTGTGAATAATGCGACACAGAGGTGCTTTTAATACAATAGGTTGGCGTAGGCTAACGCATACGCAGCAGAAAGACGACCGTTTCCTAATAATCTGTGGGACTCAAATATTTTCATCCCAAAGCCCGCTCCCGCCTGCAGTATGAGAAATGACGACCGTGCCTCAATGATCTCTGTCGGGACCTGCAGCCCTCTACGGCAGTACTTTACCTTCCTCTGCTCTGAATAATGTGTGGTTTGAAATGACACACTGCCTGTACCGCTGCATATTTTATCTCCGGCCTGTTGGCTTTGAATCAGCCATGCTGAGGTAGTTGGCTGGCTGGGGATCAAAGCAAGGAGAGAAATATTTGAGGGAAATGTTTTTTTTTTTATTAATCCCACTTCTCATTGTTCATAGTGTTTAATGTTCCTATCTTGTAGTAGGCTATAACCAGTCTTTAACCACAACACACCCATTCTGACATTTGAAGGTGACAGTAGTCAGCAGTGGTTTGATCTGTAGAGTTGATCTGCTGTCCTCCTACTGTGTTAAGACAAACATGCCTTTAGGCTCCGTTTACTGTATTAGAACTATTCTTATCATTCTCACTTCCCTGATCAATCTGATTGGAGGATTATGTAAGTAAATATATAGGCTAATTCCATTGGCCGGATATGTGCCACATTATAAAACGGTCAGCCTGAAATATTGGACCTCAAGTAGATCCTAATCTGATTTATCAACTTCATCTATCACCAGTAGCCTATAGCCTGAACACAGCCTTGGATAGCCATCAGACACCATGTGAGAGATGCAATGTTGATGATCTGCAGTGACCCAGATCTGTCCCATGGAGTAGGGCTGTATAATCAGACTAGACTGTCAAGTGCCTGTTTGCTTCTTAATCACATTTTATATAATGTGCTGATAACACTCCACTTGGCAAGTAGAGACATGTACCATGGTTGGAGCGAGAAGATTTTTGTTGAGGTTTTGAAAGAATGGGGCCTGCTATTAGTCTGTCGTGTTGAGACAAGCACAGGTTTTTACATGGTGCCACCATCTTATCAACCCTCTCAATCTCTGGAGTCTGGTACTGGAGAGTCTGCTCATGGATAATTGTCATAAATGTAGTTTTCTGAGCAGTGAATGAACCGTCTGTTTTTAGGTCTACTTGTTTCCCCTGGAGAAGTAGGAATGTATTTTAAGAATCTATACATTTATTAGGGACTATTTAGAAGTCTCTAATGCACCTAGTTTTCACTTCACTTTCTGTACGCCAGGCAGATGGGTGTCAGCATTATTTTAGCATTACTTTTAGCACTATTTCCATTATATAAAGACCTGCCTGTCACGTCACCTCTATACTCCTGGAGTGCTGAGAAAAGCTGAGGCGTTCGAATTTACTTTGAGATGTGGTGCTAGCGCCAGACATTTTTTGGAGGAGATGACGGGTCGCTTGTTTTTATTCTATATTCAAATGCCGTATCTGCTCAGATTCTTCATAATGAAACTTTTAGTACTTTCTGTTCCCTTCTGACTGAGATATACAGATTGTCCTCCAGAGCTCCGGATGACACAAACTCTGTCTATGAATAATACAGAGATGTATTCCATTCAGTGACAAGTAGAGGGAAGAATGGCTGTATTTGACATGGGAGAACACTGCACTCTGATGGGCTGGGAAGCAGTAAGCCGTCTCCAGTGTTTGGGTTGCAATTAATCAGGATGTTTTCAAGAGTGAGCTGAGTGGCTATGGAGCTCTGAGCTCGAAATAATATGATCAGCCCACAGACATTTGGGTGTTTTGATGTTTCATTGAGGTGCGTTTGGGACGTTGGGAGCATTAATTCCTCTAATATACTATCTTGAAATGAGAGAAGATAATTTGCTGTCAGAAGTCAGATCCTTCGCAGCCGCCCTGCAGACACCACTGTTAATGAGTTTTTTTAATAGAGGTTCATCATCTTGCCGCAATTGAATTAACAACATCATGAACATCAGGCTTGAAACAAATGCATTGGTCATTCGTTTGTATGTTCCCATCTCTGTTCCAGACACATATTGTATCAGCTGTGGCCTGATTCCTCTCTCCCTCTCTTCTGTTGTTGTTTGTGTACCCCACCATACAGTCCCCCGGCCTCGGTTTCATCTGCTCTGCATTGTATCATCCCCTCCTCCACTCACCTCTGCCTTTTTAAACAACTTTCAGAAGTTCAAAATTACATATCTGGTGGTTAAGGGTGTCCCTGCAGCAAGGACTCTATCACTTTCTCTCTCCGTATCCCCCTCTCCCTCTCTGTGCCCGATTCTTCATGTTTTCACCCACTGATGTGCAGTATTTCACAATAACGTCTTTGGTTAGCGTTTCTCTCAAAGGCAATGGTTAAGCACATAGACTCCATGTTTGTCCTATGTGTCTGTCATCTCAGGGACGCGGTGCTGAAAGGGACTGGGACTGACTAAGAGCTCGATATGGTGAGCGTCAGGAATTATTAGAACTGCTGAAACCTCCACAAGAAGCATTTTTTAAGTAACAGTCACAGCCTACACTGTTGTTGCCATTGGCAGGGATCAGATCCCAGGCTTTGGTCTACACACGTCCTGTTGATATTTTGCTGTATTCTGTGTTCTCTGTCTGTTTGTTCAGGTCATCCGGTGAACCCTAACTCAGAGCCTGCTGCACGATTTAAAGATAATATTCTGTCCCCCTCCCCCACATCCACATAGAGACTGAGATAAACAAATCTCTACTGGGACCTGCAGCAGGATTGGAGTGGTTCAATTGATTCTGGAGTTGAGCAGTGTTTCATTTAGATACACAGATGTGTGAGTACACAACACTGCCTTTAGCTCAAATTCTCTGTAGAATTCTCTCTCACCTCTGCTTTTCAACGTCTGTCTGATCTGATATGGAATCAATGAATAGCCTGAGTGTACAAAACATTAAGAACACCTTCCTATTATTGAGTTGCACCCCTTTTGCCCTTCGAACAGCCTCAATTCGTCAAGCATGGACTATAAGGTATCGAAAGCGTTCCACAGGGAGTCCATATTACCGCAGAAACACACTCAACTGCACGAATGCCAGGCCGTCCCGTTTTCAGTCAGCTGTTCATTCCCCAAAAAATAAACATATTTCTTTCTACGCATATGACTGTTAATTTATTTCATGACGGTATTCATCCATAACCGTCGGTTACAAGGTTGTGCCAGCCCTACTCATCTGTAATGAAAGAACTGCTATGAAAGTTACTATCTCCAGCCCTGTTTCCGGCAGCATCTGATTGCTGTGGCTCACTGAAGCCGAGTGCAATGGTGCCAAACCACTTTAAATAGTCTGACGGATCATTTCACACCAGTGCCGCCCGGCACCTGAGTTTCAGAAAGGAAGCAGCCTAGATGGAGCTGTTGTTTTTGTTGGTGTACCAGGACTATAGCATTTACTGGCACCCATCTCCACCCACACTTCTGACAAGTCTGACTGAGACTCCAGAAGAGTGGGGATGTGATGTACTGCAACTCACTGACACGCAGAGAGGAGGTGTAGGTAGAGAGAACAGGAAAGGAAAGAAGATGTTATTAATATGGCGGTTCGTCATGTTGCTGGTGATATGCTTGTGTAGATAAAGGCCTTGTGGTTGGCTAACCTCCTTAAGAGTTTTAATGAGAGAGTAGCTACTGGAGGTCAAAGAGACAGGCTGATCTACATGTCCACAGACCGGTTAGGTGGGAGAAACTGAGAGGCTGGTTGTTGGGACTTTGATCAACTCAGAGGACCTTGATGTCCAGGATCTTCACAAAGCACAGGAAGGGGAGGGGACAATGATTTTCCACGGCAACAGGATCCATTAGAGCTGCTCTTCCGTAGCAACAGCTGGGAGGATCAGAGCAGAATTTAACCAGAGTTTATCCTGCCAGCAGAAAAGTTGAGCCAGGAGAGATATTAACACAAACACTTGCTTACAACACACTCTCTCACCACAAGCTGCTGTGCTGGAAAGTGACACGCAGTGTGACCTGCTGGGTGTCAGTAGAGGCAGAGTGACCACCTGTCCCTGGCTGCCTCATTGTAGACCATCCCCTCGCCTGCCTGTCACGCATGCCAGCCAGCCAGGTGCCAGCCAGCCAGCGATACTGCTCCGGTGAGAAGGAGTTGTGTAATATGTGGATCTGTTCAGTCCCTGATAGCGTTCCTCCAGTGTGGTGATTCACTTCACCTGACATTATAGGGACATTACTGGGATCATCTTGCTCTCTCCTTCTTTCATTCCCTCACACACACTTCCTTCCCTCTCACCATCACCACGGCTCCCCCTACTCCTCCTCCTAGTGCAGAGATTTGCTGCATTAACTCCAGTCATATGACTATGAAGTCATGTTGCTGGAAATACACTGCTCAAAAAAATTAAGGGAACACTAAAATAACACATCCTAGATCTGAATGAATGAAATAATCTTATTAAATACTTTTTTCTTTACATAGTTGAATGTGCTGACAACAAAATCACACAAAAATGATCAATGGAAATCAAATTTATCAACCCATGGAGGTCTGGATTTGGAGTCACCCTCAAAATTAAAGTGGAAAACCACACTACAGGCTGATCCAACTTTGATGTAATGTCCTTAAAACAAGTCAAAATGAGGCTCAGTAGTGTGTGTGGCCTCCACGTGCCTGTATGACCTCCCTACAACGCCTGGGCATGCTCCTGATGAGGTGGCGGATGGTCTCCTGAGGGATCTCCTCCCAGACCTGGACTAAAGCATCCGCCGGACAGTCTGTGGTGCAACGTGGCGTTGGTGGATGGAGCGAGACATGATGTCCCAGATGTGCTCAATTGGATTCAGGTCTGGGGAACGGGCGGGCCAGTCCATAGCATCAATGCCTTCCTCTTGCAGGAACTGCTGACACACTCCAGCCACATGAGGTCTAGTATTGTCTGGCATTAGGAGGAACCCAGGGCCAACCGCACCAGCATATGGTCTCACAAGGGGTCTGAGGATCTCATCTCGGTACCTAATGGCAGTCAGGCTACCTCTGGCGAGCACATGGAGGGCTGTGCGGCCCCCCAAAGAAATGCCACCCCACACCATGACTGACCCACCACCAAACCGGTCATGCTGGAGGATGTTGCAGGCAGCAGAACGTTCTCCACGGCGTCTCCAGACTCTGTCACGTCTGTCACATGTGCTCAGTGTGAACCTGCTTTCATCTGTGAAGAGCACAGGGCGCCAGTGGCGAATTTGCCAATCTTCGTGTTCTCTGGCAAATGCCAAACGTTCTGCACGGTGTTGGGCTGTAAGCACAACCCCCACCTGTGGACGTCGGGCTCTCATACCACCCTCATGGAGTCTGTTTTTGAGCAGACTCATGCACATTTGTGGCCTGCTGGAGGTCATTTTGCAGGGCTCTGGCAGTGCTCCTCCTTGCACAAAGGCGGAGGTAGCGGTCCTGCTGCTGGGTTGTTGCCCTCCTACGGCCTCCTCCACGTCTCCTGATGTACTGACCTGTGTCCTGGTAGCGCCTCCATGCTCTGGACACTACTCTGACAGACACAGCAAACCTTCTTGCCACAGCTCGCATTGATGTGCCATCCTGGATGAGCTGCACTACCTGAGCCACTTGTGTGGGTTGTAGACTCCGTCTCATGCTACCACTAGAGTGAAAGCACCGCCAGCATTCAAAAGTGACCACAACATCAGCCAGGAAGCATAGGAACTGAGAAGTGGTCTGTGGTCACCACCTGCAAAACCAGTCCTTTATTGGGGGTGTCTTGCTAATTGCCTATAATTTCCACCTGTTGTCTATTCCATTTGTACAACAGCATGTGAAATTTGTCAATCAGTGTCGCTTCCTAAGTGGACAGTTTGATTTCACAGAAGTGTGATTGACTTGGAGTTACATTGTGTTGTTTAAGTGTTCCCTTTATTTTTTTGAGCAGTGTAGTTTCTCTACGGGTGTAATTACATTGTATAAGAATTTCTGCTATTTCATAGAGACAGAAGGCATGTGGATGAGGATGCATTCATTTAGTGGGATTATTATCAACCTAAATGAATGTCCTGAGTGCATCATAAGTAGATTGTTTTGGGTTCCAGTAACTGACTGGGAGCCTGCTGTACAATGTGTGATGATGGAGGGAGGGAAGGTAGTCTATACCCTGTGGTTCTACTGAGCAGTGGCACTGACTGACTGACTGACTGACCCAATGGGGATGCTGCTGAGTTTGAGAGCCAGACTGCTCTGATGGGGGTTTATTGCTGTGTTGATAATGTAGGCCTCGGGAAATCAAACAACTTAAATATAGAAATGGGGTAATTCAGTCACTGCACTTCATCACATCTCTATTAGTATCTCCCCTGCCTGCCTGTCAAATAGAAACAGATCCATTTCCCTGCTCCATTATGTAACACTGATAGTCTGTCTTTTCCCAGGCAGAATGCTGCAGTGTAGCTATAGCCTAATTGTTATCCCTGGCCTCTAGTTTAGATGATGTAACAGTCATTGCCAGTTCATGCACAGACCTGCTGCAGCATGCTGTGGCTATAGATGCAGATCCATGGCCCATGCACGGTTTTGAGAGGGGAACAGCCCTGACCCATGGGAGTATGTTAAATCTTTCCTGGAAGTAGAAGGTTGACTCATCTCTCACCCCCTCCTGCCCCCCCACCACTCTGCAGGCCCCACCCCTTCTCTCCCAGTATTCAGTATGCCTGTGTGCTCTGTCTGGTTGCTGAGGCTGGCAGTAAAGGCTCACTACACACACAGCTGTGCTCTTTGCCGTCATTACCACTCTAAAAAATACTGCTCCACATTTTAGAAAACGAAAGTCCAAAAATCTGTCTAATTTTGTGCAGCCATGCTCTGGTGGCCGTCCGTCTGCTGTCTCGTTGGGTGTGTGCAGAATAGGGAATCTGGAGACCAATACCTGGCTGTACTGTAGGGCATGTTCTACCAGTTGTGCACAGTGCTGAAGAAAGGCATCCAATAGAATATAGTACATTGTACCTACAGTGGTACATGTTGCAGAAGTTTCACACATAGTCTGCGTTCTGCAGTCAAATCCCCCAGTGGATTCTCTGAGAATTGATTAGAGACAGGTTATAATAAGGAAGGCCTGTAAAGTGAAATCTTCCTGACGGGAATTAAATGCACCTGTCCCTGTGCCACTGCTTCTTTGATTGCACTGTGGAGTGTGTCTCCGGTTGGTGTGCCAAGGTTAAGTGTTGTGTGGTAATTGAGTGTGTTCTCCCAGTGGGGGCTGTCTGTCTAATGGTTGGCTGAATCACTCACTAACAGACATTAGCATAATGCTTTGCTCTCTGAAGGGTCTCAAACAGAGAGGGCCAACTGCTTCACCTGTCTTAACACTGCCGTATCATAATAATAATAATAATAATAATATGCCATTTAGCAGACGCTTTTATCCAAAGCGACTTACAGTCATGCGTGCATACATTTTTGTGTATGGGTGGTCCCGGGGATCGAACCCACTACCTTGGCGTTACAAGCGCCGTGCTCTACCAGCTGAGCTACAGAGGACACACACTCTGTGTGTGTGTGTTTGAGAGACAGTTTTTGGCACAACGTCAATTAGGCTGAACTCTCTGTGTTGATGGTAGATATTGGTCTAGTCAAGTAGTGTTCTAAGTGCTAGACAGAAAGTAAATTAAAGCAAACTCAGGCAGCTCCTTCTCTGACAGCACTTTATGGACATACATTTGTTAACTCTCTCCCCCATACATTCTGTTGTTATGGTGTTCTCAAGTACCACTATCATCAGACAGGCTGCATCTTCTAGCACTAAGCAGTAAGACTGACCCCATTGTTTGGTCGATAAGCTGTTGATCGACCAAGATTTCTTTAGTCGAGCAGTAGCAAAAAACGTTTCTTTCCCTGTCTGATTCGCTCCTGTCTGATTCGCTCCTGTCTGATTCGCTCCTGTCTGAGTGGACTAATCCATTGTGGAGGCCGTGGGCATGGCACAGTCCTTCACTCTAAGACGTGCTACTGAAATTGTATATGGTTAAGTACAATGGTGCAAAACTAATACAAATTATATCATTTTATAACAAATGCACTTTCTCCCGCGTTTGATAGCGGTTGCTGTCCACCGTTCTGAAACATCAGTACGCTGTTGAATTGGCGCCTTTTCCTAGACCATGTTGCTATGTGCATAATAGCAAAGTTAACCAGTATATTGGTGTTGAGAACAATGTAGCAGAGGCAGCAGCGGAGTTAGGAGACGAGAAAACTGCCCTTGCCTTAATTGTCTAAGAAAAGTAAGGAGAGAGGAAACCTCAGCTTAATTAGGTCTATAATCAATAGCCTAACTGTTAAATATGCCTGGCTTTATAAATCATCCATATATACAGTGCCTTCGGGAAGTGTTCAGACCCCTTGACTTTTTCCACATTTTGTTACATTACAGTCTTATTCTAAAATGGATTATAGAAAGAAGAAAAAAATCCTCATCAATCTACACACAATACCCCATAATGACAAAGAGAAAACAGGTTTTTAGAGTTTTTGGCAAATTTATACAAAATTAAAAACATACCTTTTAGTATTCAGAACCTTTGCTATGAGACTCGAAATTGAGATCCGGTGCATCCTGTTTCCATTGATCATCCTTGAGATGTTTCTACAACTTGATTGGAGTCCACCTGTGGTAAATTCAATTGATTGGACATGATTTGGAAAGGCACACACCTGTCTATATAAGGTCCCACAGTTGACAATGCATGTCAGAGCAAAAACCAAGCCATGAGGTCGAAGGAATTGTACGTAGAGCCCCGAGAAATGATTGTGTCGAAGCACAGATCTGGGGAAGGGTACTAAAATATTTCTGCAGCATTGAAGGTCCCCAAGAACACAGTGGCCTGCATCATTCTTAAATGGAATAAGTATGTAATCACCAAGACTCTTCCTAGAGCTGGCCTCCCATCGAAACTGAGCAATCGGGGAACAAGGGCCTTTGTCAGGGAGGTGACCAAGAACCCGATGGTCACTCTGATAGAGCTCCAGAGTACCTCTGTGGAGATGGGAGAATATTCCAGAAGGACAACCATCACTGCAGCACTCCACTAATCAGGCCTTTATGGTAGAGTGGCCAGACAGAAGCCACTCCACAGTAAAAGGCACTTGACAGCCCGCTTGGAGTTTACCAAAAGGCACCTAAAGACTCTCAGACCATGAGAAACAAGATTATGGTCTAATGAAACCAAGATTGAACTCTTCGGCCTGAATGCCAAGCGTCACGTCTGGAGGAATCCTGGCACCATCCCTACTGTGAAGCGTGGTGGTGGCAACATCATGCTGTGGGGATGTTTTTCAGCGGCAGGGACTGCGAGACTAGTCAGGATCGAGGCAAAGATGAACGGAGCAAAGTACAGAGAGATCCTTGTTGAGAACCTGCTCCAGAGCGCTCAGGACCTCAGACTGGGGTGAAGGTTCACCTTCCAACAGGACAATGACCCTAAGCACACAGCCAAGACAACGCAGGAGTGGCTTCGGGACAAGTCTCTGAATGTCCTTGAGTGGCCCAGCCAGAGCCCGCACTTGAACCCGATCGAACATCTCTGGAGAGACCTGAAAATAGCTGTGCAGCGACGCACCCCATCCAACCTGACAGAGCTTGAGAGGATCTGCAAAGAAGAATGGGAGAAGCTCCCCAAATACAGGTGCTCCAAGCTTGTAGCGTCAAACCCAAGAAGACTCGAGGCCGTAATCGCTGCCAAAGGTGCTTCAACAAAGTACTGAGTAAAGGGTCTGAATACTTATGTAAATGTGATATTTCAACAACAACAAAAAAATTGTTGTGCAAAAATGTCTAAGAACCTGTTTTTGCTTTGTCATTATGGGGTATTGTGTGTAGATTGATGAGGGGGAAAAAGCAATTTAATCAATTTTAGAATAAGGCAAAATGTGGAAAAAGTAAAGGGGTCTGAATACTTTCCGAATGCACTGTATCTCCAGAAATAAGACAGATCCTGCTTCTGTTGCCTGTTTAATAGCCTACTGATTCCGTGAGCACCAACCACGTCGGATAAACAATTTCACAAATTCGGCTGTTTTTAATCTGTGTTATGCTATAATAAAGGCTTAAATTTTTTCTCCCCAATTTCTTGATATTCAATTGGTAGTTAAGATCTTGTCTCGTCGCTGCAACTCCCCTACGGACTCGGGAAAGGCGGAGGTCGAGAGTCAAGCATCCTCCGAAACACGACCCTGCCAAGCCGCACTGCTTCTTGACACACTGCTCGCTTAACCCGGAAACCAGCCGCACCATTGTGTCGTAGAAAACACTGTCCAACAGACGACCGAAGTCAGCTTGCAGTCGCAAGCCCCGCCACAAGGAGTCGCTAGAGCACGATGATACAAGGAATTCCCGGCCGGCCATACCGTCCCCTAACCCGGACGACGCTGTGCCAATTGTGCGCCGCCCCATGAGTCTCCCAGTCACGGCCGGCTGTGACACAGCCTGGGATCAAACCTGAGGCTGTAGTGGCGCCTCAGCACTGCGATGCAGTGCCTTAGACCGCTGTGCCACTTGGGAGCCGGTATTACTTATAATTAATTTAGTGTTTACAGCCTGTTCCAAATTGTCAGAACAATTATATTTATAAAAATAACCCTAATTTTTCTTGATCTCCTTCTTATTGTTAATATTATTATTTATTATTGTTGTTGTAATAATAATAATAATAATAATAATAATAATAATAATAATAACAATAATAAGTAATGTCATTATCATTATTAGTATAGCAGACTTGTATATACTAATTGTGGTCCTCTGTAGCTCAGCTGGTAGAGCACGGTGCTTGTAACGCCAAGGTAGTGGGTTCGATCCCCGGGACCACCCATACACAAAAATGTATGCACGCACGACTGTAAGTCGCTTTGGATAAAAGCGTCTGCTAAATGGCATATTATTATTATTATTATTATAACCAACATCGAGCTGTAGGCCTAAGAGCGCACCCTGTTTAGTCTTAATACCGCAACTTACTTAGGCCTATATTTCAATACTTATATAGGCTACTGTATCAATCAATCATTTATTAGTTAATGTCATCACACAGCATATGAGTCATTCATGATTTGAAATGGAATCAAGCTTTTTAGTTTTAAAATAAAAGATCAAAGCAACCCTTGAATAATTAGCGTAAACAATAAATAAACCGTTCCATTTCAGCAATTGGATTCACGAATGCAGGCTACTGTTTTTAGTCTTTGCTGTAATAAAGGCTTTACAAAAAATTTGTATAACGTTACAACATACTCTCTGGTACGCTTATCATTTATTTAGTGTTTACATTGTTCCAAACGGTCAGACAACGAATATAGTAAGCTAACAGCACCTGTTTGGCACACATGCTTCTTACAGTGGGGAGAACAAGTATTTGATACACTGCCGAATTTGCAGGTTTTCCTACTTACAAAGCATGTAGAGGTCTGTAATTTTTATCATAGGTACACTTCAACTGTGAGAGACGGAATCTAAAACAAAAATCCGGAAAATCACATTGTATGATTTTTAAGTAATTAATTTGCATTTTATTGCATGACATAAGTATTTGATCACCTACCAACCAGTAAGAATTCCGACTCTCACAGACTTGTTAGTTTTTCTTTAAGAAGCCCTCCTGTTCTCCACTCATTACCTGTATTAACTGCACCTGTTTGAACTCGTTACCTGTATAAAATACACCTGTCCACACACTCAATCAAACAGACTCCAACCTCTCCACAATGGCCAAGACCAGAGAGCTGTGTAAGGACATCAGGGATAAAATTGTAGACATGCACAAGGCTGGGATGGGCTACAGGACAATAGGCAAGCAGCTTGGTGAGAAGGCAACAATTGTTGGCGCAAGTATTAGAAAATTGAAGAAGTTCAAGATGACGGTCAATCATCCTCGGTCTGGGGCTCCATGCAAGATCTCACCTCGTGGGGCATCAATGATCATGAGGAAGGTGAGGGATCAGCCCAGAACCACACGGCAGGACCTGGTCAATGACCTGATGAGAGCTGGGACCACAGTCTCAAAGAAAACCAAAAGTAACACACTACGCCATCATGGATTAAAATCCTGCAGCGCACGCAAGGTCCCCCTGCTCAAGCCAGCGCATGTCCAGGCCCGTCTGAAGTTTGCCAATGACCATCTGGATGATCCAGAGGAGGAATGGGAGAAGGTCATGTCGTCTGACGAGACAAAAATAGAGCTTTTTGGTCTAAACTCCACTCGCCGTGTTTGGAGGAAGAAGAAGGATGAGTACAACCCCAAGAACACCATCCCAACTGTGAAGCATGGAGGTGGAAACATCATTCTTTGGGGATGCTTTTCTGCAAAGGGGACAGGACGACTGCACCGTATTGAGGGGAGGATGGATGGGGCCATATATCGCGAGATCTTGGCCAACAACCTCCTTCCCTCAGTAAGAGCTTTGAAGATGGGTCGTGGCTGGGTCTTCCAGCATGACAACGACCCGAAACACACAGCCAGGGCAACTAAGGAGTGGCTCCGTAAGAAGCATCTCAAGGTCCTGGAGTGGCCTAGCCAGTCTCCAGACCTGAACCCAATAGAAAATCTTTGGAGGGAGCTGAAACTCCGTATTGCCCAGCGACAGCCCCGAAACCTGAAGGATCTGGAGAAGGTCTGTATGGAGGAGTGGGCCAAAATCCCTGCTGCATTGTGTGCAAACCTGGTCAAGATCTACAGGAAACATATGATCTCTGTAATTGCAAACAAAGGTTTCTGTACCAAATATTAAGTTCTGCTTTTCTGATGTATCAAATACTTATGTCATGCAATAAAATGCAAATGAATTACTTAAAAATCATACAATGCGATTTTCTGGATATTTGGTTTAGATTCCGTCTCTCACAGTTGAAGTGTACCTATGATAAAAATGACAGACCTCTACATGCTTTGTAAGTAGGAAAACCTGCAAAATCGGCAGTGTATCAAATACTTGTTCTCCCCACTGTACCTTCTTTTTCTTGATTTCCAGTATTTTCCACAACTAGTCAAATTGATTCCACACATCTGACTTCCCCTTTACCTCCTGAGCAACCAGTAAACATTCCCCCATTTCGTGTTTATTTATCATGTCCTCTGCGTCCATTTTTCTGTCACGTGTTACGGTGTTCAGAGTTTGTTATAACCAATTTATTGATGCGTTTATGATATGCAATAGGTCAGGCCCTATTGGTCACGTGCATACGATGCATACATGTGTCATATAAAGAGAGGAAGGGTTAAGGGAATGTTTTTCCTAAACAAATGAGAGATTTCGGTAGCACAACTTTTTAGTCAGAAATAGCTGTAATAACATTGCAGTTTCTGCAACACGGACAGCGCGATAAACATTGTTGATTTCTGTGGTGGTCGCTGCAGCAGGGAGGAGAGAGACAATTGGTGCTAGTCACACAGTCACTCGCTGTCTTTTTTTTTTTTTTTTTTTACACAGCGCAGCAAGTCTGAGCCCGGCCCTGCACAGTCAAATCAATTGTGGTCGGACTCCCTCTAGTCATTTGTGTGTCTTAATTATTTCATCAAACATTGAACTTAAAGCATCAGACAAGCTCAGTGCATATAGTTGATTTGATTAAAATACATAGGATGTCTATATATGGAAAAATACACGTTTTAACATTTAGACCAATCAATTGGTCGAAAGAATAGACGACTTTCGGTCGACAAAGATTTTTATTTTGTCAGGGACAGCCCTACTAAGCAGTAACTAAGACTGTCTTAGGGTGTGGTTTAGGGGAAGTGGTTATGAGTGGTATGAGTCAAGAGTGTGTTTGTATAACAAAAACAAACATTCCTGACCTTGATTGTTGGCAATACTGTGTGACTGTCAACAACACAAATGAACACAGATTAGTCTATACATTTTCTTTGACAGGCCTAGTCAGTAGTCACAAGATGGGCTATTTCAGGTTCCCTTTCTCTCCTATTGTTGCCGGCGTTGAGTGCACCCACATGCCCGCCTGCTTACCGGAGCACTAGTAAAGATCCAATTACACAATGGGAAACTGGGTGCAGGGTGAGCCGACTGCTGGGCCATGCTTAATTAGATAGCTTAAGGTGTCCACCCCACACCTGGCCCCTCCGCTCTCCCACTCTCCATCGGTCTCTGTTTTCTTTGTGTGTTTGTCTGAAGACTTCCCAGGATGGGCCATTCAAATGGGGCTTGTGTGTCTGTGACTCACGTTGTCTCCTGACTCTGGGTTAGTTGTGTAACCAACCATGTGTCCACTAACACCCCAGCAGCCCTGAGGGGAGCCTTAATCGGAGAGCAGCTCTGGGCAGGGATGCCCATGTCAATTACAGCTGCCATTTGTTACCCAGTGAGAGGGCCTGGGCCTCCCTCTGTTATCAACAAAGCAAATTAGGAGGGCCGTTGTTGTGAAGTGCTGTAGCTGTGATTAATCTTAGATGGCCCTCACTTCATCCTAAACTAAGAAGGAACAGAGGGGAAATGGCCAGTGGTTTTGTTTGTCTTGTTCTCAGCGTTTACAAATCCAAGAGAGAAATATGACAAGATACATTTTAACTGTCCAATTGTTGCAGTCACAATGGGTCACTTTTATTCACTGAAGATGCATGTTGTCTAATATGTGAGATTTTCCCTAATGTTGTTCTCCATCATGCCATTATTGGGAAATACAATCTATAATGCATTCACGTCATTGGTTTGTTGACAGTCAATAGGCTCATCCTCATGGACTCACACAGATGTAACCTACGAGTCTGTTCCATTTCATATCCTATTCACATGGATTAAGAGCCAGGATATTAATATTATGATTCATGACTCATCCTGAAAAATGGTTGATGAAACTGAGCAATAATGTCTATCTCTTAAGGCCTTCCCACACTGTATGTGCGATGTTACCAAATTAAAATCTTGCTATCAACCTGGCCAGATTGTATGATTTTCTTCAGTTCTGTCGTCACATTCTGCGATTGGCTTGCGAGGCCACGTCAGCCTGCAGCAGTGTATTTCATCTGCGTACGTGCCAGCACCAGCAGCGCAATCCTCACTCTATGCTTATGTGTGAGTGAAGTGAGTTCGGACAATTTTAAAGTATGCATATTTATATGTCCCAAAAATAACATGGTCGCTGTGGGAGAATGTTTATTTTGATTGGGGATTTTGTACATTTATCAAAATCCCATCAAGGGAAATCTTCTTCTTGCAAAGCATGTAAACGTTTAAATCAAACTATGTTATATTCATCTGACTATTCACAATAGTTGTATTATTGTGTGCATATCATGTGGCTGGCCGTAACACCAGCCACTATACGATAAAGGCTCAATTTCTGGCACTGCGAGAACTTTGTTGGAGCCTACGACCCTTAGAAATTAAAACCAGTAGATAGTGATAGCGCTAACGGCATCCATGTATTCCTATGGAAAACTCCCGATGGCGCATGAAGCCGGAAGTATTGATATGAGTGATATGGAGTAATGATTTACTTGACCTGTGTTCTGATAAGAGATTGGTGTGATTCTTTGGAGGTCCCAGCCCAGGCCTCTGAGTCATCAGGACTTTATAGGAAATATTCTTCCTGAACAATAGACGTGTGCTGCTGAACTATCTAAAGAATTTGCACATCCATTAAGATGTTTCTCAAATAACAACCACTTTCTATTGTCTCCCCTAAGAGAAGTTGAAGGCCCTATGTGTCTGTATTTATTTTCCCTTTATTTTCCTTTGCTGTGAAATGAAAAGGGTCTTACAGCCTAGTAGTCTGTCTGTGTTGGGAGACACTGGTTTGGCGTTGTACTTGCCCTAATCTTTCTCCTGTCATTTTGGCTGCATAGATGTTTACTGAACCATGAGCAGGAATGTTGGAGGTACTAAATGGGGTCTGGGTAGTGTAGTAATGTCTTTTCATGTTCCTCCCTTGCAGGCATTTCAATCTGCGGATGAAGAGGGACACCAGCCTGTTCTCTCCAGACCTCACAGTAGAGGTGTCAGGAGAGGAGGCTCCCTACGACACCTCCCACATTTACACTGGAGAAATCTTCGGTAAGTCCAGCAATTATTTCTGGAACGACAAAGTCCTTGTGCACACAGGCACAATTACGATAGTTACCAGGGAAACGCTTTCCGCATCCAATTTGTTTATTTGCTTTTGCGTTCATCTGTTGTGTGTGGGTGTGCGCCAGTGTGTTGTTGTGGGATTGGTAGCGTTGGCTGGCTGGAGTTCGATGTAAAAGCCCAGCCACCATGAAGCTGTGGTTTTGAACGTTGTTAATGGATATCATTCTCCACTCCTCTGTCTGTCTGTCTGTCTGTCTGTGTGTGTGCGTATACGTGTGGAGAATGTGTTGGTCTCGTTCCAGCCTCACATCCTCAGGATCCTCCCCCTCCCCCGCCCCATGCCTGCAGCAGAGCTCATATATAACACGAGGGGAAAACAAGGCCAAGGTGTGTCCGTCCGGTCATGTGACGTGGTGTGTTTGTGTGAAGCTCTCAGATCTCAGCGGGCTCAGCTCCACTCCCACCTCATCATTCACAGATGCTGTCATCTATCTTCTCCTCTGCTGAACAGACTGTAATTCAAATCAGACTCCACTGGAGCACTTCTCATCTCTATCAAATGGAAATCTTGAGATCTGTTTCCTTTTAGAGAAGCAGCACTGTGTCGTTCCAAGGACGACGATGTTGTAGCCTATTTCTCAGATCTGTAATGTAGAGGGATTTGTAATGGAATGAAAAGGTTTGTCCGGACCAAGCCTTTTCTTGTCAGTAATAAAGGTGGACATTCAAAGGTGGATTTTTATTTAGTGCACACAAAATTTACTTTTCCGCTTACATTTTCATGTACCGAATAAAAATGTTAAGTTCAATGTGTTTCCATTGCATTTTCGACTCTAGCGATTGTTTTGTCACAAAAAGCGGTGCGTTAAATAATAAATGTGCCTACTCTGGTCTTGGCACATGTGCTCTAGCCAACAGCTCGCAGATAGACTACAATGCGGGTAGGCTGTGCAGGTAGGCTAGGCTACATGATGAGATTATTATGGATAAGAGCGAGAATTTTTTTATTTGTCAAATGGCAGTCAAGCATCGATCATCATGTCACCAGAATAAGACCCTCGATGTTTATTGGAAAGGAGCATCAAACTCTTCACCGTGCATTTTCACCACCCTGTGAAGCTCATCATAACTTATTTCATCTGTAGCCTAATAAACTGCATGGTTTCCCAAATCGCAGTGGGAGGATCACACACAATATCATCGTGTGACTCCAAGTTCACTTCGATATGATGATTATTATATCAATATTTGCGCATAAAGTCATTTCCACCGCCATTTCTCGCATAATTAATTTTACAGACACAAAGATCCTACCATGTCAAACAAACAAATGATCTAGAGGCATTTATAAACTTGTATCGAAACTTCCGGTTTCCATCCCAGCTGTCGTGATTTTTTTTTTTTATACTCATAAAAACTGTGGATGGAAACGTGGTTACTGATACATTTCATTGCCATATTCACTCTGGCTTACTGAGGGAATAATTAGAATATGCAGAAGATGATGTTCATGTCTACCGAGGCCTTGATGTATGACAGAGAACCTTAGGCTTTACAAAATCAAATCTAAAACCTTGCTTTTTTTCCCCCAATTCTTTTTGTAAGTGGACAGTTTCCATACGAGAGATGAAGCGCTACAAGGAACACGTAATATTGTCCTCAAAAACGTAATAGATTTTTTCACGTTCTCCGAGCTTGAGGAGTTTGTTGGCAGTTGCTAATCTTCAGAGAAATGGTAGTCGGGTAATCGTCATGCAATCACGCTTCAGCAAGCAAGGCAGCTTGCCAAAGGCATAATTGCTAAAATAACAAAGTGTTACATAAAGGTAATACTCTAGAATACTGCAATTAGGGATAAAGATTGCACTCAGAGTTGGATTGCAGTAAGTGGCAACATCTTTCTCTCCTCAACCCTTTGCTGTATAATACAGTGCCTTCCGAAAGTGTTCATATCCTTTGACTTATTCCAAATGTATTAAATGAGATACAGAAACATTTTAAATTTAAGTATTCACATCCCTGAGTCAATACATGTTAGAATCACCTTTAGTAGCGCTTACAGCTGGGAGTCTTTCTGGGTAAGTCTCTAAGAGCTTTGCACACCTGGATTGTACAATATTTGCACATCATTCTTTTTTCTTCAAGCTCTGTCAAATTGGTTGTCGATCATTGCTAGACAGCCATTTTCAAATCTTGCCATAGATTCTCAAGTCAAATTTGTAACTAGGCCACTCAGGAACATTCAAAGTAGTCTTGGTAAGAAACTCCAGTGTATATTGGCCTTGTGTGAATTTGTCTCCCAGTGTCTATTGGGACGCTGACTGAACCAGGTTTTGTTCTAGGATTTTGCCTGTGCTTAGCTCTATCCCATTTCTTTTTATCCTTAATAACTCCCTATTCCTTGTCGATGACAAGCATACCAATAACATGATGCAGCCACTACCATGCTTGAAAATATGAAGAGTGGTACTCAGTGATGAGTTGTGTTGGATTTGCCCCAAACATAACACTGTATTCAGGACATGAAGGTAATTTCTTTGCCACATTGTTTGCAGTTTTACTTTAGTGCTTTATTGCAAACAGAATGCATGTTTTGGAATATTTGTATTCTGTACAGGCTTCCTCATTTTCACTCTCATTTAGGTTAGTATTGTGGAGTAACTACAATGTTGTTGATCCAGCCTCAGTTTTCGCCTATCACAGCCATTAAACTCTGTTTTAAAGTCACCATTGGTCTCATGGTGAAATCCCTGATCGGTTTCCATCCTCTCCGGCAACCGAGTTAGGAAGGACGCCTGTATCTTTGTAGTGACTGGGTGTATTGATACACCATCCAAAGTGTAATTAATAACTTCACCATGCTCAAAGAGATATTCAATGTCTGCTTTTTTAATTTTCCCCATCTACCAATAGGTGCCCTTCTTTGCGAGGCATTGGAAAACCTCCCTGGTCTTTGTGGTTGAATCTGTGTTTGAAATTCACTGCTCGACTGAGGGACCTTACAGATAATTGTATGTGTGGGGTACAGAGATCAGGTAGTCATTCAAAAATCTTGTTAAACACTATTATTGCACACAGTGGGTTCATGCAACTTATTATGTGAATTGTTAAGCAAATGTTTACTCTTTTTAACTTATTTAGGCTTGCCATAACAAAGGGGTTGAATACATTGACATTTGAGCTTTTCATTTTTTATTAATTAACAAACAGTGACCCAAAATCTCAATTTAATCCATTTTAAATTCAGGCTGTAACACAACAAAATGTGGAAAAGGTCAAGGGGTGTGAATACTTTCTGAAGGCACTGTACATCTCCGGCAGTGTGTGTTGTGTTAAGTGCAGTTGCTCATCAGTTAGCCTCTGCCTGATATTAGAAGAACCGTGAACTGGTGGTAAAGCGGTAATATCCCCAGTCCCATTCTCCCTTGAGTCCCTTCCTCCTCCACCTGTACCTCTGCATTGCTTGCTGTTTGGGGTTTTAGGCTGGGTTTCTGTAAAGCACTTTGTGACATCTGCTGATGTAAAAAGGGCTTTATAAATACATTTGATTGATAGCTAATAGCTGTCTGTACTGTTATGGGGATGGGAGTAGGACCCATCTGCTAGTGAAGTACTGTAATCTAGTAGAGAGACAGACCAGACCACTCCATTATGTGTGATCAGATGTGCCTATACATTCATTTTGTCATTTGCCTCTCATAAAGACCAGCAGACTCCACTCTCCTTACTTTACATTAGCCCACTTAGCGCTTTGGGGACCAGGCAATTTCATGAACTAAATGAGGTGGTTACTGTGGTCCCTGTCTACTGGAATTCTCATAATTGGAGTGAAGCTGCTTGTATCTGGACTGCAGTAGGGTTTCTGATGATAAGGTACAGGGGTAAAGAATATTCCATTTCCACTGTCTATATGGCCACATTAACCCAGCTCTCATTAGTGTAGCATGTTCTTTTCACTCCTCTTTCTCTCACATGAAAGTCTTGTCAGTTGCCCTTGGGACCGGCCGTATTCTCCTGACTTAAACTTGGAATTATGGGTACTCCCTTTGCTGAGGGTATCAGTGTCTGAGGTATGAGCACTCCTTGGTACAGTGATCAGACTTGATCCATATGTGAGCAGAGGATGGGTCTAAACCCCTCTGCACTGGCCTTTCATGCCCAGAGAAAGGGCTTCCTCTTTGGGCAAATGAGCAGTGCCCAAGCTGTGCCTTCTGGAGATCAGAAGGGGGACTCCGTTCCTGAAATGATATCAGAACCATAGGGCTCTCTTTAATGTTACCAAGTGCTGCCCAGCATTAGACCACATAGATTACATTGGTCCTCACTCTGATCTAAGCTGTAAGTGGGGAAAGTATTATTTATGTATGATTATGAAGAAAATGGGACAGCAGAAATGACACATGAAGTCATCTAGCTCCTGTAAGTCGCTCTGGATAAGAGCGTCTGCTAAATGACTAAAATGTAAATGTAAATGTAAATCTAAAGTGACAGTTATTACTGTCAATGAATGGTCTCAGCATAGCTCAAAATTCCTTTCCCTAGTATCCTGCTGATTTTGTTTAGATGGAGGTAATCTAGCCTACAGTATTATTTTGAGCAAGCACCTCCATTATTGACTGTGGTTTGCTATTACTCTAATCCAGGGGCGGTGTGTTCAATAGGGCGATATGGGCGACGCACTGCCAAACGGGAAAAGGAAGGGATTTTTTTTCTAATCAATTATATCACGGCAACAGTAGTTATCAGTGTTCTAATCTGATCTGACTGCCACTAAATGTCAAATCAGGCTAAAGTCGTGCTTCAAATGGCCCCGCCCGTTTTTGGGGCGATTTCAGTCATGTTGAAAATCACCCAGAAGTCTGTCATAGACTCCCATGTAAAATCTATTTTTTTCAAATTTCAAAGCTTTCAATACAATCTCTATGGGTGTCTGTGGGCTTGCACTTACGCGCTTTCGTCATACGTGACGTAACCATGAACGTAACTAAGAAAATAGCGGCTAGCAGCGTCTCTGTTGCGACCTGCAGTGTGGCGTTATCTTATGTTTTTAATTTGTACACTTAGTGGCGTTATTTTATGTTTTTAATTTGTACACTTAGTTTACAAACATTCTGCCAACCATGGATTTCCAGTGGTGGGTTTTGGACTGATCTTGTTGATCGTGTACATACCCGCTACGAACGGACTAAATAATGAAAACGCTGCTGGCAGCGGAATCCAATACAGCTGGGAGACTTGGCTGGATGACAGAGTCCCGGACAGAGAAGTGGAGCCGGCCGGCTTCACCCTGGTCAGAGCGGACCGCGATCTGACACAGTCACAGGGAAAATCGATCCTGGTAAGAGAGCGACTCTATACCCCCGACATTGAACTGCTTTCTGTGTCACTGCGACCTTACTATCTGCCCCGTGAGTTCCCCCAATTGTTTGTTACCGTTGTGTACTGTTGATAATCACAAGTTTACTGGAGAACTGAGACCAAGTAGAGACTTTGGACAGGGTGGATATGGTATAATAAAGGCAGTTTATTCAGAGGTAAAGATATCTGGAATCGCGTGCACGGACTCGTTCGTCAAACTCTTAGGGAGCTATCTGAAGAGAGCCCCGAAAACATTGTGTGCAGACATTTTATACAATAAATGATGTAGGTTGAATCTAGTAGTTCTGATCTTCTGATTGGTCCTGATGAGTTGGGCGAGGTCCCCTCCACTGTTGCATTGGCTCTGAGTCGGGTTCTCTGTCTTCAAATGTTCAGCCTAAAGAGAGGGGATTTTTGTGTGTGTGTGTGTGTGTGTTTAACAGTGATGATGTGTGTGTGTGTGTGTGTTATCAGTGATGATGTGTGTGTGTGTGTGTGTGTGTGTGTGTGTCCTCAGAGCAAGAACTCGTGAGTTGGAAGAACTGAGAGACCTATGGCGTGGGTGTTGTCCTTGGCCACCTGCTGACAAGGCTGACAAGATAGGACTCTTTTGTCCATTGTTATAGGATAGGAACAGCATTGATTGAAAACAAACGCCCAACACAAAATGGGTCATGCACAAGATTTTAGTCAGACCAAGCTATAACATTATATATTTACTACGACAGTACATTCAACCAAAAGCTAATATAACAAAGGCATCAGAGATTATTTATAATCTGTCACAGAAACTGGAATCCATCTCCCCAGATCAGTCAATAAATGCTTCTGGTATTGACTTATATGCTGCCCCTGTCTTCATGTTGTTGCTGGACATATCTTTTTTAAAATGTGTGTAGGTCACCTAAATCATCAGAAAAATTGCCCCTCCTGAGAATTTTTTCAGGAGCCGCCACTGCTCTAATCTAATATGTGCCTAATGTACAGCAGTAACATTAATGGAATGCACTTTCTGTTTTTCTCACTTTCAGTATCAAAACTACTACCAATACCAGTTAGTGTCCCAGTGTTTCCTGACAAACTACATGGCTAGGGCCTGGACAAACCAGGGGAAACTATGGGCCCTTTCCATGGAACACACAGAGAAGAGATTTAGAGAGAAAGAGCTGGATGCTCCATGGGACAGCTGTGTGTTCTGCTGCTCTTGTTATCTCCAGCAGGAGAGCAGAGCAGACGGCCCCCAGCGGGCCTCTTTCCTCTGGAAACACAAACCTAACCTGGGAGAGAAGCTGGTTGGCTAGCTGGCTGGTTGGCTAGCTGGCTGGTTGGCTGTGTTTCTCTGTTTACGCTAAACTGCAACGGTCCCTCAGGATAACTATGAGACAAAAGCTCCAACATTTTCACAACCAATACTGAACTGAAGAGAGCAGCAGATAAAAATAAGTTGAGCTTCCTCCATCCTGTGGAAAACAAGTCTTATTCTCTCCCTGATTAGTTATCTTCTCCCATTGAGTTGTCAGTCATCTATGTGCAGTTTTATTATAACCCTCCAGAGTCTGCTGTTTTTATAACACAGGTTTTTTTTCTTCCAACCTGCAAAGGTTTTTCAAGGCGCTTGCTCTTGGCAAACACTGAATGAAAAACCGTCCAGTCTTCCTCTGTCTGGTTGAAAGGCGGATGATGTTTAATAGACTCTGCTATGCCCTGAAAACATTTGGTTTTATTCCGTCTTACTCCCGTTACCATTGTCAAGGCAGTGCTTCTTTCTCACTGGTTCCTTGATTCTTCAAGCGTTAGTTGTGCCTTTTGTGTAAGAAGCCCAGCTGTTCTCTTATTGTCCCTGACACTAACCAGAGTCCAAGCTCTTATTACTAAAGTCATTATTTGTCTGATTTGAAGGTCAGATGAGAGGAGCAGGGATGGGTCTTTATGATACAGACAGACAGGGATATGGTGGGCCCCACCCTGATACTCTGCTCCAAGACGCTATTCCCCCCAGGAACAGCTCACTGTCTACCATCTGCTCAATGTTTAGAGCTGCCTGTGTGTGTCCGTGTTTGTGTGTGTCCGCATTATGTTCTGTTAGTTTGTGTGTCAGCTTGCGTTGGTGTGTATGTTTTGAGTGTGTTTCTCTCACACGTTGAGCATTGACTTCCCTTCCTACCCCCAACTGAATAGAGTTGAGTTGACCACCCTTCTTCAGCCACCTGACCTGAGTCTTTCTCCTCCAGGTGAGAAGGGCACTCTGACTCACGGCTCGGTGGTGGACGGCAGGTTTGAAGGCTTCATCCAGACCCACCAGGGCATGTACTACGTGGAGCCCTCGGAGAGGTACCTCAGAGACAAGGACGTACCTTACCACTCAGTCATCTACCACGAGGGGGACATCAGTGAGTATACTCTGCTGCCAGTCACCCAGCAGGCCTGCTGGAGTCATGGTGCCAACATCACAGCACTAAAATGAGTTATGGCTGTCATTAATGTAATAGGTATATTTTATAGACTTAAAGGACGTGTTCGTTAATGCTTTTGCTATATTGATTCAGACAATGTTGCCCATACAATATGACTATGGGTGTGTGTGTATATATACACAAGCAGTCAGGAAAGCAAAGGCTAACTTTTTCAAACAGAAATTTGCATCCTGTAGCACTAACTCCAAAAAGTTTTGGGACACTTTAAAGTCCATGGAGAATAAGAGCACTTCCTCCCAGCTGCCCACTGCACTGAGGCTAGGAAACACTATCACCACCGATAAATCTACAATAATCGAGAATTTCAACAAGCATTTTGCTACGGCTGGCCATGCTTTCCACCTGGCTACCACTACCCCGGCCACCAACTCTGCACCCTCCGCTGCAACTTGCCCATGCCCCCCCCCGCTTCTCCTTCACACAAATTCAGACAGCTGATGTTCTGAAAGAGCTGCAAAATCTGGACACCTACAAATCAGCTGGGCTAGACAATCTGGACCCTTTCTTTCTAAAACTAGCCGCCGAAATTGTCGCAACCCCTATTACTAGCCTGTTCAACCTCTCTTTCGTAACGTCGGAGATCCCCAGAGATTGGAAAGCTGCCGCGGTCATCCCCCTCTTCAAAGGGGGTGACACTCTAGATCCAAACTGTTACAGACCTATATCCATCCTGCCCTGCCTTTCGAAAGTATTTGAAAGCCAAGTTAACAAACAGATCACCGACCATTTCGAATCCCACCGTACCTTCTCCGCTATGCAATCCGGTTTCCGAGCTGGTCATGGGTGCACTTCAGCCACGCTGAAGGTCCTAAACGATATTATAACCGCGATCGATAATAGACAGTACTGTGCAGCCGTCTTCATCGACCTGGCCAAGGCTTTCGACTCTGTCAACCACCGCATTCTTATTGGCAGACTAAATAGCCTTGGTTTCTCAAATGACTGCCTCGCCTGGTTCACCAACTACTTCTCAGATAGAGTTCAATGTGTCAAATCGGAGGGCCTGTTGTCTGGACCTATGGCAGTCTCTATGGGGGTGCCACAGGGTTCAATTCTTGGGCCGACTCTTTTCTCTGTGTATATCAATGATGTCGCTCTTGCTGCTGGTGACTCTCAGATCCACCTCTACGCAGACGACACCATTTTGTATACATCTGGCCCTTCATTGGACACTGTGTTAACAAACCTCCAAACGAGCTTCAATGCCATAGAACACTCCTTCAGTAGCCTCCAACTGCTCTTAAACATTTTACATTTACATTTTAGTCATTTAGCAGACGCTCTTATCCAGAGCGACTTACAGTTAGTGAGTGCATACATTTTTATTTGTTATACTGGAATCGAACCCACAACCCTGGCGTTGCAAATGCCATGCTCTACCAACTGAGCTACATCCCTGCCGGCCATTCCCTCCCCTACCCTGGACGACACTGGGCCAATTGTGCGCCGCCCCATGGGTCTCCCGGTCGCGGCCGGCTACGACAGAGCCGTAAAACTAAATGCATGCTCTTCAATCGAACGCTGCTGGCACCCGCCCACCCGACTAGAATCACTACTCTCGACGGGTCTGACCTAGAGTATGTGGACAACTACAAATACCTAGGTGTCTGGTTAGACTGTAAACTCTCCTTCCAGACTCACATTAAGAATCTCCAATCCAAAGTTAAATCTAGAATCGGCTTCCTATTTCGCAACAAAGCCTCCTTCACTCATGCTGCCAAACATGCCCTCGTAAAACTGACTATCCTACCGATCCTTGACTTCGGCGATGTCATTTACAAAATAGCCTCCAACACTCTACTCAGCAAATTGGATGAAGTCTATCACAGTGCCATCCGTTTTGTCTCCAAAGCCCCATACACTACCCACCACTGTGACCTGTACGCTCTTGTTGGCTGGTCCTCACTACATGTTCGTCATCAAACCCACTGGCTCCAGGCCATCTATAAATCACTGCTAGGCAAATCCCCGCCTTATCTTAGCTCATTGGTCACCATAGCAGCACCCACCCGTAGTCTGCGCTCCAGCAGGTATATCTCACTGGTCATCCCCAAAGCCAACACCTCCTTTGGCCGCCATTCCTTCCAGTTCTCTGCTGCCAATGACTGGAACCAATTGCAAAAATCTCTGAAGCTGGAGACACTTATCTCCCTCACTAACTTTAAGCATCAGTTGTCAGAGCACCTTACCGATCACTGCACCTGTACACAGCCCATCTGAAATTAGCCCACCCAACTACCTCATCCCTATATTGTTATTTATTTTGCTATTTTGCACCCCAGTATCTCTATTTGCACATAATCTCTTGCACATCTAGCATTCCAGTGTTAATTCTAATTGTAATTATTTTGCACTATAGCCTATTTATTGCCTTACCTCCATAACTTGCTACATTTGCACACACTGTATATATATATTTTCTGTTGTATTTTTTTGACTTTATGTTTTTTTACCCCATATGTAACTCTGTGTTGTTGTTTTTATTGCACTGCTTTGCTTTATCTTGGCCAGGTCGCAGTTGTAAATGAGAACTTGTTCTCAACTGGCTTACCTGGTTAAATAAAGGTGAAATGAAAAAAATAAAAATAAATGTTAATTGTTTTTTAGGGATGTAGCTTTAGAAATGAGATGTTCATTATCCAATTAAGCAGTTGAAACACAATTTCATTCCAAATAACACATATTTTGTGCAGGCAAAGATGGTTATTTTTGGAAGCACATGGGATGGCTTGTTAACAACACAGTCATTCGTCAGTGTTATTCGCTTTGAAAGCGAATGGATTGAATTGGCTGTAGCAGCTCTAAATAGCAGTACCATGGCTGTGCTCTTTTTAATTGCAGTTGTTGTCATCAACTGACAGCAGTGACTAATCCATGCTGGCTCGTTTGTCCCAGCTTTTCTCTCTCCACCTCTGCTACATGCACATCCCTCCCTATCATACTGTTACAGGACAGGGACCTTAGATAGAGAGTAACACCGAAAGGCGATTCTCTGCTGGAGGTATTTATTGTAAGCAGAGATATGGATGGATGTGTACCTAAATGGACTGAAGGATGGGGGGTGGGACAGCACAGGACCGGTTTCTCTAGGCTTGGAGGTAAGGTCTTAAAGGCTGTGGAATGCATTCTGAGCAGAGTGGAGGTCTACGGTTCAAATACAATTCAGAGCTGTCAGAGGAGAGGTCTATCCAAGGGGAGTTTACATTGGGCATTTAGCCAGGTCAAGTCAAGGTCATGTCAGATGAACTGTGGAATGGGTCTGAGCCAGAGGACACACACAGGGTCAGGGTTAGGCTGAGCCCTGATGATTGATGTGGAATCAGGATGAGACGCCAGTGCCAGGGAGTGAATCCTCTTCCTTAGCAACCAGCCCACCAATTATAGATCATTCTGAGGTGTGGGCTAAGCTCCAGAGACCATTGACCCCACTCATCCCAGTACAGGCCAGAGAGCAGCCCTCTCAGGCAGGCAGGGAGGAAGCAGCATGGAGGCCCACCCTGTGTTGCTTGGCCCTCTCTTCCTCAGGTGGGGCTTTCACAGCCAGCCTGCCTGCTGACACACAGGCACAACCAGCCCAGCATGAGCCTGCAATCAGAGAACCTTTCTCTTATGCTACTTCTCCACAATGTAGGCCTACTCTCTCGCTCTTTCTCCTTTCCCTCTATTTCTTCCCTGTCTCGCGCTCTTTGTCATTTTCTATGTCAGTATGAGGTGTCAAGAAAGCTCTCACCCTCTATTCCTCCTCCCATCCCGCTCTTTCTGTTTATCTGAATGGTGTGAACAGAGCTTCTCTGTCCCTCAGTGTCATATCCAATGACAGGCTGTCATCTGAACCCCTCAATAGTACTGCAGGGCTTGGCCACTGCACCTGCTTTGAGGTAGTTATGCCCTACCCATTCTTTTGTGTTCTTCACATCTTTCTTCTTCTTTCCTTAGCAGATCATATTGCCTGAGACATTACATGAAGGACCCCATTTCATATTTTTTCCTTCACTAATCTATGAAGCGAATGCCGGTGCCCCAAATTGAGATTTTCTGTCAAGTCATGCTGCCATGTGAAGTCAGGTCAGAGCACTGATGGCAGCTCTCTTATCTCATTTGTGCCACTGTGGGTTAACATGCTCCACACTGCCTCCTTGTGGTACATCATATTTGTATTTGCATAGCCTTTCATGTTATCAGCTGTACATTTACACATAGTTGAGTCATTTATTAATCTAACTTTGGCTACATTCCTGTGACACAATGAAGTATCAAGTCCATATTGATACAAGGGGACTGGGTAAAGACAATCTTCCAATAGACCTGTTTGAGAACTTCATTCCATTCAAATTTTTACATTTTAGTAATTTAGCAGACACTCTTATCCAGAGCGACTTACAGAAGCAATTAGGGTTAAGTGCCTTGCTCAAGGGCACATCGGCAGATTTTTCACCTAGTTGGGTCGGGGATTCGAACCAGCGACCTTTCGGTAACTGGCCCAAAGCTCTAACCGCTAGGCTACCTGCCGCCACATTCTGTTCAGTGTAACATTCAGGTTTCAGCCGTTTTATTCAAACTGTGTCTTTATCAACCTATTAATGAGTCTCTTCTCACTGATATCCTGTCTGCACTTGGATGTTTTCAAAGACATCAAAGACGCACTTCAAACAGGTTCATTTTGTTGCGGAGGCTTTTTTCCTTGAAGAAACTGGCACCTAATTTTAGAATTCTCTTTCATTTTACATTACATTTGACATTTTAGTCATTTAGCAGACGCTCTTATCCAGAGCGACTTACAGTTAGTGAATATATATATATATTTTTTTATACTGGCCCCCCGTGGGAATCGAACCCACAACCCTGGCATTGCAAACGCCATGCTCTATCAACTGAGCTACATCTTTCCTGTTGAAGCTGGTGTTGGTGAGAGAGGAAGGACAAATGGTGGATGGATGGAATAAAGAATGAAAAGGCATGACTGACTCTGACTCCCATTTACCCCGGCTTTCACAACTTTGTCTTTCTTCGCTTCTCGTTCGCAAAGGCCTTTTGATTAGCATCTGAATGAGAGGGCATTCACTGCAGAGACAATGACAGCTTTCTGTCGGGAAATAGAGAATACATTGTCAGGGCAGAATGTTTTGTTGTTCGGTCAATCCGGTCAGTCCAGTACAGAGCCATTCTCCTCAACTGACAACGGGGCACAGGTTGACCCTGAGCCCACTCTCTCCTCCTCCAACCCGTTGACCTGACTTCCCACTAGTGGCACTTTGTGGTGACTCATCATATGATATGCAAAGCAAAATGCAAATGAACTGCGGTCAGTCAATAGTGCTGTAAGTACGGCCAGGCTTTTGAGGAACGGCATCCTGGCCCTGCAGCACTTACCCTGACTTTTAAAAAAAGCGACTATAAATAAAATAAAGTGCCAAAATAACTCCCCCGGCACTTTTCTGCCATCGAAGAGTGTGAATTAAAATGTCTGTTTGTCCAAATTTGTTTGAGGACAGGAGGAGGGTAGGAAGGTTGAGGGAGTGTGAAACGCTGGCTGAGTATACTATTTACTTGTAGGCTGCAGACCTGAGTGTGTGTGTGGCTTTGTCGGGACTGAGTTTGTGTTCTTTGGGACTGAGTGTGTTTTCCTCAAGTTTGGAGGTGTATTCGTTGGCACTGTGTGTGTTCATTACGGTGATGCGTGTTCTTTAGGACTGTGTTTGTGTTTCTGGGAGCTGAGTGTGTGTGTGTGTGTGTGTGTGTGTGTGTGTGTGTGTGTTCCTTGAATTTCCTCGGGCAGAGTGTGTGTTCCTTGAATTTCCTCGGGCAGAGTGTGTGTTCCTTGAATCTCCTCGGGCAGAGTGTGTTCCTTGAATCTCCTCGGCAGAGAGTGTGTTCCTTGAATTTCCTCGGGCAGAGTGTATGTTCCTTGAATCTCCTCGGGCAGAGTGTATGTTCCTTGAATTTCCTCGGGCAGTGTGTGTGTTCCTTGAATCTCCTCGGGCAGAGTGTGTGTTCCTTGAATCAGAGGCGTTGCTATTGCTGCTCCCGCCATGCAGGCTGGTGACTGACAAGTTAATTTGGGAGGCTTATAACAGCAGCTCTGCCGTGTCCTCCCAGCACTGCCAGACTCAGCCGGGGGAACTTGAGGACTAACCACTCACAAGGACTTAGTCTCACTCACAATACATCTACATGATGCCTATAAGGCCTTGAAGAATAGGACTGTGTACTGAGTTATGTTTTTCTACAGTCTACACTACTAGACGCTACAATATGTCTTTGGAGTCCATTTCCATGCCAGTATGTTGTGGTGGCCCTGGTTGTGATGGATGTAAGAGTGCTGATTTTAATGAGACGCATGCATGTACTGTAATTACATGATCCTAGTTGTAGAATTGATTGCTTGTGTTTACTGGTGTGTTTTTGTTGTAATTAGGGGGGCTTTCGCTATTGACCAGAGCAGCGGCATCGACTGTGTTGTGTACATTAGGGAAAAGATGCAGTGGCAGTGGAGAGAGGAGACCTCTATTGAAGCGTGCAGTCAGCGTTATTGACTCCATCTCACTGTTTGTTACTATCTGGGGGGAGGGAAGAATCTCTCTGCTAGGAACTGATCACAGAGCAGTCTGACCTGATGTAGGATCTGATCCAAATCCATGTTTTATTATCAGCACATTGTACAGTAACAGCCTGATTGATGGCATATGCATTCAGTTATTCTGTGTATTCAGGGTTATTGTATTGCGGTGTATAGGTTAAAACATTCAAAGTGCTGAGTGTGGGATTGTGCTGGCTTGTGTTTGAAGTCCTGTCTCAGGTATCTGAGGCGGAGTAGGGAGGGCATGTTGCCCAGGGGAGGGAGAGATGGCTGTTATCCCTGAGTCCTCATTAGTGACAGAGACACACACACACATACCGACTCTTCCTCCTCACCCTGCTTGCTCTGTTATGCAGCCCGCTTAGACAGCAACAGAGCTGTCAGGCCTGGTTGACACTGCACCATTCCCCATTCCCAGAGAGCCCTGGCTGAGGCCCCTGAGTTCAGCACACTCTGCCCAAACCCAAAACAGCATACCTATATGTTACTCTGCCTACCTCCCAGTCACCCGCATAATTAGGGTCAGAAGTTTTCCATGGCCACATAACCTAACCAGGAAAAAGTAGCATACCCAAAATAGACTGCCTGTCTCCCAGTGTGTCATCCATACCTGTCCCCAACCCTGTGTCTTCATCCTGGAACACATGGCGTTGTTCTGTAGGGACTGACAACATCAGACAGAGAGATGACAGAAGTCGTTTGCTGTGAATAGATAAAGCCAACTAGGGAAGAAGTAGAAAGCTCTGTGTATCCTGTTGACTAAACACACAGCCGTAATTGGAGTTCATTAGCATTCAAGCCTGCTGTGAAGGTAAAGAGTATAGATTACAAAAACCCATTATACAAGTTTGCAGATTTCCACAGGCAATTATGGCTCTCTGCTAAGAGTTCTGTGTCACTATGGTTTACTCATTTTCATGAGTGTTTCACTGTGCAGTTCTGTGTTCTGCATAGGGATCACTGGGCTCATTCTACAGGGGCGCTCTGTACTATGGTGAGACTGTCTGCTTGTTTATTGGCTCATTTAGGAACAGGATGGTGATGACAAGGAGGGTGCTCTCCAACTTGCTTGCTGGCTGCTCTTCAATGGGTGACATCAGAGCAGAGTCAATAGATTTGAATTGGATGCGTTAATCAAAATCATGTTCCTTTTTTATTAGGAAATTGGATCTGTGCATGTGCTTGATCTGTGCACCTGCTTTAGGCAGATGCCCGTGAACAAACGGTGTTCTTGATGATCACCATCTTAGCTGGGTTGTAAAGTACCCAGCTCTGTGTCTGTCTTACTGCTTTGGTCCCATTGGGAATGCTCCAGCAGCCAGCCAGTCCACAGAGGGACACAGCACCACATGTTGTTCTGGGCAATGGCATCATTTCTCAGCAGAGGGCAAGGATACGATCCTGCTTAGATGTAGGTTTAAATCTGGACTGTGGCAGACTCTGTGGTATCTCAGACCATTCTTTGACATTGATCTGTGTTAGTAATTGTGAAAGTGTATTGCTTGAATATTGGACTTTTCTGGATACTGTAGTTGCAAGTAGTGTTGTTGCTCCTTATTGAGTCTGGTGTTTTTCAGAGCCTCTGGCAGAGGAAGGTAGAGGAAAGTCGAGCAGTGAGTGAGTCAGTGACATGTAATTTGGGAGGAAGACTGCTTTCTTTCCAGCCTGGAGAAGGAGACGCCAGCGGTGAACAGAGGATTATACTTTCAGTTAGCGTAGACAGTCTGTGTGTTAGGCCTTGTTACACACACACACACAAGAGAGAGAGAGAGATATTAACTACAGCTTCTTTCTGTCCTAATGAACAGACATTTAATGCTCTGAAAGATATCTCCACCCTCAGGTGAATGAGTTGTTGCTGCTAGGGATAATAAGGTTATACTGCTATGTTTTAGAGGGCCTTGCATAGAGTAGATGAGGCAACACTATGGCTTCGTGTACAACCTTTCTCTTTCCCCTTCTAAACAGGTTTAGCCTAAAGCTGAGAGAACCAATATTACTGGTAATATGGTTGAGCTCATATTGATGGTTTCCTATTCTCCTCCCAGATTACCCTCATAAGTATGGCTCAGAGGGAGGCTGTGCTGACCACTCAGTGTTTGAAAGGATGAAGAAGTACCAGGCCTCAGCTATGGAGGAGCCTCTCAAGGTGAGCTGATAACACCCCACTGTGAAACCAACCCTATACAGTGAGGGAAAAAGTATTTGATTCTCTGCTGATTTTGTACATTTGCCCACTGACAAAGACATGATCAGTCTATAATTTTAGTGGTAGGTTTATTTGAACAGTGAAAGGCAGAATAACAACAACAAAAATCCAGAAAAAGGCATGTCAAAAATGTTTTAAATTGATCTGCATTTTAATGAGGGAAATAAGTATTTGACCCCTCTGCAAAACATGACTTAGAACTTGGTGGCAAAACCCTTGTTGGCAATCACAGAGGTCAGACGTTTCTTGTAGTTGGCCACCAGGTTTGCACACATCTCAGCAGGGATTTTGTCCCTTTTTTTTCCCCCTGATTTGCAGATCTTCTCCAAGTCATTAAGGTTTCGAGCCTGACGTTTGGCAAATCGAACCTTCAGCTCCCTCCACAGATTTTCTATGGGATTAAGGTCTGGAGACTGACTAGGCCACTCCAGGACCTTAATGTGCTTCTTCTTGAGCCACTCCTTTGTTGCCTTGGCCGTGTGTTTTGGGTCATTGTCATGCTGGAATACCCATCCACGACCCATTTTCAATGCCCTGGCTGAGGGAAGGAGGTTCTCACCCAAGATTTGATGGTACATTGCCCCGTCCATCGTCCCTTTGATGCGGTGAAGTTGTCCTGTCCCCTTAGCAGAAAAACACCCCCAAAGCATAATGTTTCCACCTCCATGTTTGACGGTGGGGAGGGTGTTCTTGGGGTCAAAGGCAGCATTCCTCCTCCTCCAAACACGGCGAGTTGAGTTGATGCCAAAGAGCTCGATTTTGGTCTCATCTGACCACAACACTTTCACCCAGTTCTCCTCTGAATCATTCAGATGTTCATTGGCAAACTTCAGACAGGCTTGTATATGTGCTTTCTTGAGCAGGGGGACCTTGCGGGTGCTGCAGGATTTCAGTCCTTCACGGCGTAGTGTGTTACCAATTGTTTTCTTGGTGACTATGGTCCCAGCTGCCTTGAGATCATTGACAAGATCCTCCCGTGTAGTTCTGGGCTGATTCCTCACCGTTCTCATGATCATTGCAACTCCACGAGGTGAGATCTTGCATGGAGCCCCAGGCCGAGGGAGATTGACAGTGCTTTTGTGTTTATTCCATTTGCGAATAATCGCACAACTGTTGTCACCTTCTCACCAAGCTGCTTGGCGATGGTCTTGTAGCCCATTCCAGCCTTGTGTAGGTCTACAGTCCCTGACATCCTTGGAGAGCTCTTTGGTCTTGGCCATGGTGGAGAGTTTGGAATCTGATTGATTGCTTCTGTGGACAGGTGTCTTTTATACAGGTAACAAGCTGAAATTAGGAGCACTCCCTTTAAGAGTGTGCTCCTAATCTCAGCACGTTACCAGTATAAAAGACACCTGGGAGCCAGAAATCTTTCTGATTGAGAGGGGGTCAAATACTTATTTCCCTCATTAAAATGCAAATCAATTTATAACATTTTTGACATCGTTTTTCTGGTTTTTTGGTTTTGTTTTCTTCTCTCACTTTTCAAAAAAACCACCATTAAAATTATAGACTGATCATTTATTTTCAGTGGGCAAACGTACAAAATCGCAGGGGGTAAAAACTTTTTCCCCTCATGTACTATACAGCACTACCAACTACCAAAAACCCCTTACACATTCTTACAATTGGGGACAAAAAAACATGCCATACACACCATCTGTAAGTCAAATTTGCATCCCCGGGCTGCTGTGGAAAACCAGTACTGCGCAACCCATTTTATTACCAAGTTGTGATTGGTATTATCAGTTTTCCCTTTAGTTCTTGAATCCCAATAAATACCACCTCACATATTCTTGCTCCATGGTAAAATAACAAAAGCCGTTGCATATGGGAAAAGGGAATGTTAATCCGACTTTTTTTGGAGCTGTAACTAGACCGTTCCTTTATTGTTCCGGGGGTTTTACCCCTTTCACTCTGGGGATGACTAGTAGATGATGCAAGATCATCTGGGGTGGGTGTTATTTTTCTCTCAGGGGATGAGTTAGACCAGACCAGGGGTGTGTCCGGAAATGTTTCCCCCCTGTTTTCGGGAAAGACCTTCCCTACCCCCCTTCAAAAGTCGGGCCCTCTTTCCCCAACGAAGAATGGGATTTTTTTTCTTCTACCTTCCACTTTCCACTCTCAATCTAGCTCCCCTATCTCTCTTCTTCCAGCTCCCCTCTTTCCACCTCACTCTCCCTCACATCCATCTCTCCCTCCTAGTTGACTAATGGTAGTTGTTCCTCTGGTTGTTGTCTCTGCAGGAGCCCCCCAAAATGTGGTGGAGGGAGAGGTCCATGAACATGGTCGGACCGAGGGAAAAAGAGCTGCATCACCACCGGCAAGTTGCGTCTCCCACAATGACAGTTCAACTTGAAAGAACGTATGCTGTTCATAATACTGCGTGACAACTTTGTTGACGCCCTTGCAGCTGTTTGTTCAAGTTATCAGGTGCTCTGTAACATCCACATAAATGCAAGGTCCTGCATCCCATTCTGCGGAATGAAATTCTAACATGGTTTGCCCCTTTTCTTCCATGAACTGTTCAATTCTTCTCTGTAAATCAAAGAAACGCCTCAGCACAGCACCTCGGCCTTAACCCATCTACCCTCAGTGTGGTATGGCAGGCCATAGATGTGGTCTTTCTCTCTGAGAAGGCTGTCAACCTGGACGGTGATTCAGGCTTCTGGATCGGATGAAATTAACAGTTTGGATGACTACTTCATGACGGTATCCATCTTTAATGACTTGAACACAAAGCCTCCTGGTGCAAAATACAGTGAAAAGTCAAAAAATCACGTCCTCCATTTGAAGATTGCACTTTCTCTCTGAACTTTGTCACAACGCCTGCTTTTTTCCCGATCATTGAGGGCGCACCATCTGTAGCCAGGCTGACAGCGCGGGACCAGTCCACTCCGACCCTGTCCAGCGCGCCGACGAGTGCGGTAAAAATATCAGCTGCTGTCGTTGTATCTGTCATCGGCACCAACTCCACGAACTCCTCGGTGACGGTCAATGTGTCATCAACTCCGTGGATGAAAATGGCCAGTTGTGCAACATCTGTAATGTCCGTGCTTTCATCAATTGCAACCGAAAACGCAATAAATGACTTTACTTTTTGCTTCAACTGGCTGTCCAAATCCACTGAAAGATCGGAAATCCTGTCTGCAACTGTGTTTCTTGTCAGGCTGATATTTGCAAAAGCCTGCCGCTTTTCAGGGCACACAATCTCCGCTGCCTTCATCATGCATGTTTTTACAAATTCACCCTCACTAAATGGTTTTGAAGCCACTGCGATTTCATTAGCAATGAGGTAGCTAGCTTTCACTGCAGCGTCACTGATGTCTCGGCTGTGAGTAAACACAGACTGCTGTTTCTTCAGACCCGCCAACAGTTCATTCACCTTCTCTCATCTCCGCTGTCCTTGAAAGTTGACATATTTGTCGGCATGAAGACTCACATAGTGGCGACGAAGGTTATATTCTTTCAGCACTGCAACATGCTCTGAACACACCAAACATACAGCTTTCCCATTCAATTCCGTGAATAAATAGGATGACCATTTTTCTTGGAACACTCTGCACTCTGCGTCCACTTTTCTCTTTTTTGACAGAGACATATTGGGGCAATGAGGGTGCCAAAGCACATAATGTTAAAAGTAGAGGCCGTAATAAATATCGCGGGCAAAACAAAGTAGCTCATTGGCTGCACGTGCTTGACCTACTTGCTCTGCCCCGGTATAAACAGTTTGCTTGCTTAACACAATTGCTATTGCGCCATCCAGTGGACGCAATTGGAACAGCAGTTTATTTTATAGAAAAATTGCAGCGCATTTTTATACTTTACAATTTTGTATTTATTTTTGTAAAAAAAAAAATTACTTTTTTTTTTTTCAAAATCATCTCGCGGGCCGGATTAAACCCGTTTGCGGGCCTGATCCGGCCCGTGGGCCGGACGTTTGACACCCCTGGCGTAGACAGTCTGTGTGTTAGGCCTTGTTACACACACACAGAGAGAGAGAGAGAGAGAGAGAGAGAGAGAGAGAGAGAGAGAGAGAGAGAGAGAGAGAGATTAACTACAGCTTCTTTCTGTCCTAATGAACAGACATTTAATGCTCTGAAAGATATCTCCACCCTCAGGTGAATGAGTTGTTGCTGCTAGGGATAATAAGGTTATACTGGTATGTTTTAGAGGGCCTTGCATAGAGTAGATGAGGCAACACTATGGCTTCGTGTACAACCTTTTTCTTTCCCCTTCTAAACAGGTTTAGCCTAAAGCTGAGAGAACCAATATTACTGGTAATATGGTTGAGCTCATATTGATGGTTTCCTCTTCTCCTCCCAGATTACCCTCATAAGTATGGCTCAGAGGGAGGCTGTGCTGACCACTCAGTGTTTGAAAGGATGAAGAAGTACCAGGCCTCAGCTATGGAGGAGCCTCTCAAGGTGAGCTGATAACACCCCACTGTGAAACCAACCCTATACAGTGAGGGAAAAAAGTATTTGATCCCCTGCTGATTTTGTACGTTTGCCCACTGACAAAGACATGATCAGTCTATAATTTTTGTGGTAGGTTTTTTGAACAGTGAGAGACAGAATAACAAAAAAAAATCCAGAAAAAGGCATGTCAAAAATGTTATAAATTGATCTGCATTTTAATGAGGGAAATAAGTATTTGACCCCTCTGCAAAACATGACTTAGTACTTGGTGGCAAAACCCTTGTTGGCAATCACAGAGGTCAGACGTTTCTTGTAGTTGGCCACCAGGTTTGCACACATCTCAGGAGGGATTTTGTCCCACTCCTCTTTGCAGATCTTCTCCAAGTCATTAAGGTTTCGAGCCTGACGTTTGGCAAATCGAACCTTCAGCTCCCTCCACAGATTTTCTATGGGATTAAGGTCTGGAGACTGGCTAGGCCACTCCAGGACCTTAATGTGCTTCTTCTTGAGCCACTCCTTTGTTGCCTTGGCCGTGTGTTTTGGGTCAATGTCATGCTGGAATACCCATCCACGACCCATTTTCAATGCCCTGGCTGAGGGAAGGAGGTTCTCACCCAAGATTTGACGGTACATTGCCCCGTCCATCGTCCCTTTGATGCGGTGAAGTTGTCCTGTCCCCTTAGCAGAAAAACACCCCCAAAGCATAATGTTTCCACCTCCATGTTTGACGGTGGGGATGGTGTTCTTGGGGTCATAGGCAGCATTCCTCCTCCTCCAAACACGGCGAGTTGAGTTGATGCCAAAGAGCTCGATTTTGGTCTCATCTGACCACAACACTTTCACCCAGTTCTCCTCTGAATCATTCAGATGTTCATTGGCAAACTTCAGACTGGCTTGTATATGTGCTTTCTTGAGCAGGGGGACCTTGCGGGCGCTGCAGGATTTCAGTCCTTCACGGCGTAGTGTGTTACCAATTGTTTTCTTGGTGACTATGGTCCCAGCTGCTTTGAGATCATTGACAAGATCCTCCCGTGTAGTTCTGGGCTGATTCCTCACCGTTCTCATGATCATTGCAACTCCACGAGGTGAGATCTTGCATGGAGCCCCAGGCCGAGGGAGATTGACAGTGCTTTTGTTTCTTCCATTTGCGAATAATCGCACCAACTGTTGTCACCTTCTCACCAAGCTGCTTGGTGATGGTCTTGTAGCCCATTCCAGCCTTGTGTAGGTCTACAATCTTGTCCCCGACATCCTTGGAGAGCTCTTTGGTCTTGGCCATGGTGGAGAGTTTGGAATCTGATTGATTGCTTCTGTGGAGGCTTTCAGTACAG